ACTGCAGGCTCAGAGGCCGGCAAGGCAGGCGGGGAACGTTGGAGTCCTCCGTCACTGAAGCAAGCAAGCCTCATGTTAGCTTCAAGCTGCCTGGCTGCCAGCCGCCATCTTGGCTGACAGTTAATTTGCATATCGCCCCTGATTAGCCAATGGGAAGGGTAGCGGTCATACGACAATTAGCATGTTTCTCTTTTATTAGATAGGATTATCCTGAGTGAAAGGTGTTTCAGGTTTCTCTCCTGGTGCTGTCACTGAGCTCAGGGCCCCTCCGGAACACACTGGAGAAAGGGGCCAGAGGAGGCGATCTGTGTGGGATGGAGGGAAAGTGCCTTTGGACAGCACTTACCCCACCAGCGTGATCAGGCCAACTGTCCAAACCAAAGTGCGGAAGGGACTGGGAGACTGAGAAGGACTCAAAGCCAGCCTGTGGCCCAGCAGCTCTGCGTTAGAACAGCTAGTGTTTCATGTGAAAAGCATTCAGTTCTTTACTCCTGGTCCCCATTATAATTTTCTCATTTTCTTGGGGGCATGTCCTCTTATTTAGTCAACTGCTCTTGCTTTATTCTAAGAACAGGCAGAAGAAGGCGTTGCTAGTGAAATTATTAGAGTGTTCTGGAAATGGAAATCGATGGGAAACTAGGAAGTACATCCTTTGATGTCATCATGTGATTTAGAGCATCTAGTTCTATGTTAGATAATCAGTACACATTATACTAACATACATGTACCTCTGTGATCCTCAGTGGACTTGTAAGGACAGCTGTCCATTTAAGTCCCATGTTAATTCTCATGCCCCATTTCTAACATGCTGTCTTCCCCGTGCCTGCATGTGTCTAATGACAGGATACTGACCATGCTGCAGCAACATGACTGCAATTGAGGGGGTGAAATGGAGGAAGATGGTCAAAAGGTACAAACTTCCAGCTAAGGAATAAACAAATCATCAGGATGTAATGCACAGCCAAGAGGGTAGATCTTAAAGCAGTGGTTCCTCACCTGTTTTAGACCAGGCCCCACCTAAGCATCTCTAAACCCTGATGCCGCCTCCCTGGTGACATAGGATTCCTATTGTTCAAAAAGTGAGCTCCTGTTCACGTGGAGGAAGCCTAAAGGACTGTTAACTTGGTCTAAACAAGCTTGCAAAGAACATGGCATCCATGAAAGAGAAAAATAAAAGAACAAAAGGACAGTTGAAGCACTGAGGGAGAAATCACTAAGAAATTGTTAAAAAAAATATGAAGTGTGATGAAAAAATAGCAAATAGTTTCAAAACATGTCATAGAGAACTGAAATGCATAAATATGTCACAATACGTATTTATATACTGTATGTGAGGTCCCTGGGACCACAAAAATTGCAAAACATTCACTTTAATAACTCATTCTCGAATTGTCCCCCTTAACAAAGTGGGCGTATATGGCATACTGTTCTTAATATGTTTGCTCACCTTCTTGGCGCTATGTGTTTTAACCAAGGTCACCTCTCCAAGAAAGGCTGTTTCCCCAGGTAGGGATTTTCCCCCGAAATTACGGAGGGAATAAAACCCCTTAACTAAGTGCCAGGCAGGTAGTTAATCACTTTAACTATGAACAATCACGCTTAAGCTACATAATCTTTACTCCCTGGAATGGAGATAAGAAATGCCTGAACCTTTGGAATAGAAATTGATAGGATTAAAATCAACTGGTATAAATACAGCTGTAACAAGACAATAAAACGCAGAACCTGGTTGGAGAACCTAGCGAGAGAACATGGCAAGAGAACCTGGCTACAGAACTTGGCTATGCTGATCAACTGAATGCTGGCTCCATGTCCTTCCTTCTTCACCGACTCTGTCCACACCTTTGGGAACCCCTGGACCAGCTTGGGCTAAACCCCAACAAATAAAGTTTCAAAACATAATTCTAGTAGAGAACTGAAATGCATAAATATGTCACAATATATATTTATATACTGTACATGAGGCCCCTAGAACCATAAGAAATGCAAAACATTCACTGTTAATAACTCATTCTCGAATTGTCCCCCTTAAAAATCAAATTGCCACCTTGTGAGGCATATGCCCCACATTGGGAACCACTGTCTTAAATGTTCTCATCACTAGAAAAGTTTAGTAACTACATGTGGTGTAGATGTTACCCAGACTTACTGTGGTGGTCATTTCCAATGTATACAAACATCCAATCTCTACATTGTACACCTGAAACTAATATAATGTCCATTATACCTCTATATAAAATTGAGTAAAGTTTATTGAGCAATTCTGAACATTATACTCTGTAGCCAGGACTATACGGGGGCTTTCTTTGCATCAGATTTTTGCTTAGTTCTCACATCATCTTGGTGAGCTAAGTGCCCTTCATCTCGACAGTTGGAGAGAATAGAGTGATGGCGGTTGAGGACCTTCGCGAGGACACAGGCAGTAAAGGTGCCCTCCAGGCTGAGCCCAGCGATGTGTTCAGACCCACAGGCTCAGCCACTGCACCGACCACCTCGCATTCACCTTCTGAAGGGACTGTTCCTCCAGGGAAAGCACTCCCCTCCCTCCCTCCCTCACAGATGTGCCTGCCCACAAGCTACTCCTTTCAGTGAGTGACCGCATTGCCCATAAACTGAGGCGGCTGCAGCGGAGCAACTCCAGTTCCTGGACAAGATGCCCGCCTCATCATGGTCCCCTTCTCTGGAAATGACAAGCTTTGTATTTCTCTTATGTAAGAAAACCCAGAGCTCCCGCACACACCTTCCCCTTCTTAGAGACAACGGTGCCCCCAATTCCTAAATCCAACCACTGTTCTCAACAGGATTTCAGGCTTTTCAGCATGTTAAGTGCCAATTAGACCACCTGAAATCAGACCAGAAAGTGTGTCTCACTTACTTTGGGAAAATATGTTTCTGTTAATGTGGAAAAATCAGAATTTCTTGGCGAGCTTGGGAAGAAATCGCTCTTGTTCCTGG